CACCTTTTGAATTTAGAATTGATTGTGAAAGTGAGTGAGAGGATAAGTCTTGGAGGACATTTCTTTGCATTTCATTGGGGCTTCTTTGTCATCAACCAAATGGAGGAGACCAGACCACTTGGTGTTCATTTACGACTATGAATAACGTGCACATGCTACGTGGGTTTTTTTGAGTCTCAAGTCTCTCAAGTCAAGCACACTTTATTTCATTTGACTCTCTCTCTCTACTAGTCTTGGGTTCACATTATTTCATTTTGAAGAAAAATGTGCAATTTATTGATTTCATTATTTTTTCTGTTTGGCTTCTAAGTTTTCACGACAGTGACTTTGACCCTTATGGAAATGTTGTGAAAGAGAAATTAAATTTTTATTAAAGGGCTAATAAGAGTGACGAGTGCGAAAAAAAAAAATGGAATTAGAAAAAGAAAAACAAACTTTCGACTTTTTTTTTTAGTCAAAAGAAACCATAAGCAATTTCCTCGCTTCATACAATTTACTTCTTCTAGACATATGCAACTTTCACACGTATTAATGGAGAAAAGTTTAGATTATATAGACCGACAATTTTTAATCCATATGCCTCTAGAAAGTTTGAGGATAAACATATTAGTTTCTTAATATCTTGGGAAGGTTCTTAGGCTTTGTTTGGTTGGAGGGTAAATGAAGGAAAAGAAAAGAAGGGTAATAGAAGGAAATGAAATTGTGTGCTTGGTATAGGTTTTTAAAGAAAAAGAAAGGGAACGGAGAGGTTTAGAAGGATACAATTAGGCATGAAATATTCGTTTTGTAATCTTTCCAAAAATAGGAGGAAATTTTGTTAATGCCGAATTTGCCCTTACTTTTATTAAAAAAAAACAAAATTTATGAAAAAGGGAATGATAGTAAATTTATTTATTAAATGGTTTCATTCATTTTCTTTTCTCAAACATGAATACTACTATTTCATTTCATTTCTTTTACTAATGAACCAAACACGGTGACTCGTTAACAATGCCATCTTCTTTCTTTTATTTTCTTTTTTCTCCTAACTAATGTTATCCTTTTTTTTTTTTTTTATACTGTACCAAACATAACTTTAAAGAGTGATTGAAATATGGGAAGGAAAACAAAAAACCCAAAAAAAAAAAAAAAAAAAAAAAAAGAAAACAAAAAGAAAACAAAGTTTTCAAACACTAAAATTAATATTGATTTAATATCGTGATTTTGGCTTTCCGTTTAAATAAGATAATTATGCAACAGAATTATTATTTTTTTGAAAATTTGATGAATTGTTCAGATGGCTAAAATGAAAAAAATTTCATTTTCAATTTTGGGCACTTTTAGTTCAGAGAAAGAGGCTCCATCACCCGTCAGACCAATCCTTTTATTTAAGTCTAAATTTAAAAATTTCCCATACAAAAAAACCCATAAGAAACAGTCTAAGGCCTGTGTGACAATCATTTTTACTTCCTATTTTTACTTTGACCTGAAACAGAAACAATATTTCTATTTTATATTGTGTTTAATACTATTTCGAACCTTGTTTGATAACGTAAATTCGTTACAAGATTTTTGAAAGCAAAAATATGAAATCATGTTTGGTAAAAAGTGTTACAAGTTTTAAAAAAATTGAATAATTAGTTAAGAATGTTATTTTAGAACAGTACTTTGTTACAGTGCGAAAGTAAAAAAAAATATAATTTTATGTTTACGATTTTGATCTCAATTTTAAAAATATTTCGATATTATTCAAATGATAGTAAACATTATCAAACATATTTTTTACGTTGTTGTTTTTTTTTTTTTTTTTTTTTTTTTGGGTTACAGTACACAAACAAAAATAAAAACAAAAAATACAAGACAAAAGCATTATCCGCTAGTGAGGCAATTCCACGTATCACTCCTTTTCATGTTATTTATCCAATAGTAGTAATTGCAACTTGCAAAGATTACAATTTTGACAAGTGTCATTTGTCAATTCTATAATATAAAACCACTGGTGTGCATTATTACAAATAGTCAGCATGTTTCTCGATGGTTCATTCTCTTTCACGTCAATAATTAGAATTAATGTTCTATTTTAGTGACAATGGTCTTTCCATAGATAATAAATTGGAGTACAAAAGTCAAAAAAAATTTATTAATTTATATGAATTAAAACTGATGTCATTATAAGGTCATTAATATTCCTAACATTACAATGACATTAACCCAACTCTTTTTCAATTTTTGTGAAAAAAATTGTAATCCCTTAACTTTAATTTTAAAATTTACCATTAAGTATCATGCAAGTGAATTTACATGTGATAAAAGTTCTTATTAAAAACAAGTCATTTATAAATATAATTAAGAGTAGTGAGTTAAGTCTATCCATATAAATGAACCCTTTCTTATCGGGCTCATACACATTTATTTTTTATTCTTTTAAAGATTTGAACTCTAGACCTTCTATTTTGAAAGATGTTGAGATATATTAGGTTTCACAACCCTTTCCCACTAGATTATTAAAGATAAAAATAGAGGTACAATTTAATTGATGATTCCAAACATGATTCAAAAAGGCATGTAACCTAAGAGCACTCGCAGTGGTCTCCTCAAAGGGACCTTTGGCAAGCAAATGGATTCTTTTAACCCACAGCGGGCTAAGTTAAGTAGACCGAGTCCACAGGCGCCCTTCCCATTGGCCCGGCGAGCTGGCTAAAAAGATGTCGAGAATTAAAAAAAAATAAATAAATAAAACGCTTTCAGGCCTTAGGGGGCAACTGTCCAAAGGCACTGTTTGGCTGGCCAGTTACCCCCAAAAGCCCTTTTTTTCACTTTTTTTTAAATAGTAAATAAATAATATAGCTCTTAGGCACTGTTTGGATCATCCAAATGGTATCTAAGGACTATATTGACCTACATCTTCTTTTTTTTTAAAAAAAAAAAAAAAAAAACTTTTTTGGTCTCTTTAAATATATATATATATCAATAAATAAATAATATAGTCCTTAGGCACCGTTCGGATCACCCAAATAGTGTCTAAAAACTTTTTTTTTTGGGTCTTTTTTATTATTATTATTTTTTACAAAATCAGTAAACAAATAATATAGTCATTAGGCACTGTTTGGCTGACCCAAATAGTGCCTAAGGATTATATTGCATACAAAATAAAATACAGCCGTTAGTAAAAAAATTTAAAATATGTTTTTTAAAGAGCAAAAATTCGAAGAGGCTGTTACAACGCCAAAATTTGAAAAGCAAAAGCTGCCTACGTGGTTGTTGGAAAAGCTAACGTGGTTTTTGAAAAAATTGATGTAACTACTCCAGAGAGCAAAATTTAAGAGGCAGCTGGGGATGGCCTAACTTAATAGAGATTGGTAGTTTCCTTGATTCTAAGGCCCATGTACCTAACCCAGAGTTTTCCCACCTAACTGGATGGTTTTGATTGTTTGAGTTCGGCCCAAACAATATTTTTCCTTGGGCTTAACTATATGATTGCTCCACCCTATAGCTCAGATCTGGCCCAATCATATTTTTAAGCCCTAATTTTCATTTTCAACAATGGAAGGCGAGATTTTGGAAATTTTCATTTTCAAAGATTCAATCCCACAAGACATATTTCTTCATATTTAAAAAAATAAAATAAAAAATTGAAGATGGTGATTAATACTTGCTCATGAAAGGGACTTTTACTTTTAGTAAAACAGAATTTATAATCAATATCCGACTCGAACTTGCCTCCTCACTTGTTTTATTGTCAAACATTTTTACCGTTAGGTCAAAGTAGTCTTGTCAAACAAGTGTTCGGTCATGTCCCACACCACCACGATGCTCTTATAGGCCGTTTGGGCTTCCTACGTCCAATACTTGGACAACCTGTTACTCCTCATTTCATTTGCGAGTTCTATTGAGTTTATCGGATTGCTTGGGTTGTTTAAATTTTTAATAACCAACTAATAGATAAATAGAATGGTACTAAAAAAACATTTGAAAGTTAAGGTATGCTCCCTCCTTCTCAAAATTCTTGGGTGTTTGGGGAATTCAACTTTTAATGGTATTATATTCTTAATACATTTTTATTGTAATTACAGGAGTGATTTTCTGAATTTATTTTTGTTAAAAGACAAAAGAATATTTATGTAATTAGTGCAATTCATTGTCAAATGAAAATTAAAAATGTTATAAAACATAGTAAATTTTCAATGTCAAAGGATAATTTTTAGAATGTTACTATATAAAGAACTACTACATTAATTTTTTAAAAGAGACTGCATTTTGGGACATCTTAAAACAAAAAAGATGAACAAAAAATTTAGAACATCTCAAAACAAAATGATGGACAATAATTTCGGGACAGAAGAGAGTATAATTTTATGACAATAAAACATATGCAACCACAAGTTTTAAAACGGATGACACTTTCTAGAAGCAGGAGTGGAGTCACAAATTTTCAATTGGGGACCAAATAGTGATATAAAATTCAATTTAATAAATAAATAAAATAATTACAATAATTTTTTTTCTCAACGATATAAAAAAAATAAATACAAAGAAGATTAGAGCTTAAATGTTTTATAAACTAGTCTCGAAAATAAACCCAAACTCAACTCATTAGTTGGTTTCCTTTATAAAGATGCTGTGATGAACTATTTATGGACACAAGTTTTAATTGTTTGGAGAAAGACTAGATAGATATATGTCATTTATTACAAATTTAAGAGCAAGTTTATCAAGATGATATGAATTACCCTTATTCGTTTCAACAACCGAGTGGTCGTAATAAATTGAATTAGTTGCACTGATTATTAATAAATACATATACCTTAATTCGTCACCTTCCTGCGGTAACACAGGCACAAAATGGTATATGTGACCCTACATTTCGCTAGTATTATTAGTCACATCTCTTTTATTACGATCATTCACAACCAAAAAGGCGAAACGGAGTTATATCACTTACCTGTCCCTCACGGGCACTGCCGTCCCAAACCGTCACTTCCATTAGAAGCGAGAAAAAACAGATATATATATATATATATATATATACACACACACACACATATACATATACAGAAATATTACAATGTAGTATGTAGTAACGAAAGCAGACGAAATACCAGCATTGCCGACCCTCCACAGACTAAAAACCATTCAACAAAACAGAGCACTCTCTAATATCCATACCCTTGTTCCTTTCTATTCTCTCTCTAAAATCCTTAACCACGAAATCCCAGACTGACAAAAAGTCAAAAACCATGAAGAACAAGTTCTTGCTCTGTTTTCGGCCGGTAGTCCTCAAAACAGAGATGGAGACCAGGGATTTTGATTGTTCCAGAGGTCAAGTATGTACGTATATCTCCCAGCACAAACAAAAAGATTTGAAGAACTCCACGATCAAATCACCATTAATTTTGAGCAAGAATCTTCGACCAAAGAGCAATTCACGCCGGTCACTTTTTGGGTTTTTCAAAGTTGTTCTGTTTGTTATCTCGTTGGTTAGTTCTCGACAATTAAAACTTTGTGTTTCTTAATTGTTTTTCATTTTTCTGATGAGCCTCTGCTCTCTCTTCTTCACAGAGAAATAGAGTTCGTCACAGAAATGTTCATCAACTCAAGTCTCCGTCGAGGATTAGTAATCCAAAATCTTTTGATGTGGATAACAAACAGAACAAAACAATTTCATCATCTCAATTGAAAACCTCAGAGTTACTGTCTAACAAGAAGAGTCTATCTGGGTTTCGTTCTATTTCATTCGACCAGAAAAAACAGAGCATTCACAAAGCTCAAGAGCTTAGTAAAGAGAGAACAGGAAACAGAGTGACCAAAGGTTCGAGTTCAAACTCAGGACTTTATTTGCTTTTCATTACGCTATCAGTTACCATTTTTTGGGGCAAAGTATGTGCCATATTGTTCGCATTGACATGGTTCTATTTTCTGCCCCGCCGGAGTTACTTCAAACAACCATCGGAGAACAAGGCGACTTCGCCGGCAGTGATGGAAAAATTAAGTGATTACAGGAAAAGAGTCATAATGGAAGGGATGCTGGAAAGGAACCACCACCTGCGGCGCATTAAATCCTTTACGTGAAAGAGGATTTTGGCGTGTTTGAATGCGCATACACATAGTGCATATGTATATGTGTGTGGATACATACTTACTCTGAATTAAAGCATAGCTCACTCAAACTTGTCAATGTTTCATCAATGAGAATATCGGACATTCACATTTCATTTATTTTTGTTTTTGGGCATATTATAGGGATTCATACCTTTGGTGTGTTTTTTTTTTTTTTTTCCTTGGCAAGAATCTCACACAGTGATTTACTCTTACGGCGAGAAGTGACACTTATTTGCTACTATGGTGGCTCGAACCAATGCACTTTGAAAAGTAGAGAAATACCACTAAATTAAAGCAATAGATTCATAATATCATACACATATTTAGCTCTCACTGATTTTTGAAATATGAAATTATTGATCTCGTAATAAAGACCCTTGTGTCCACATCCCAGTCATCCCCTCGCCCACAAGAATATGTGCATCTAAACGATCTTCTATACCGTGCTCAATAAATAAGTTAGTTCAATTGAGAAGTTAGTTCTATACCTATGACAAGCAACAAGAAAAATAAATGTGATAGCTAAAATGATGTGCAATATCATGAATGAACCTTAATCGCCTTAAATGAGAAGATAGAAAATTCATTTAAAGAACAAGCAATTTTATTAATAGAGGAGTAGGGCATTAACAATATGGCCATTCTAATTTACAGGTCTATGGTACATCTAATTTTTGTAACCCATGAATAAGAAGGTGAAGTAATTCACCAAAAGTATAGAAATGAAAATTTCATTCTAACTATTCTTTTATTAAAACATTCATAGTCATACCATAAAAGTTATCTCTGCTTAATCTTCTTTTAATCTTAATATTCTCTAGGATATTGTAGCTTAACATTTTTCCCTTCTATAAAAATTTTACTTATCTAAAAAAGAAACAAGTCAAGTCAGCTTTAGCTTTTAACAATTCCACATTGTTTTGGACTCATTAATCTTGAACTTTTGTTGTGCTTGCTTTGTGCATGTTAATATTTACTTTTGCTAATTAGTCTGTTTTATAGATTCACGGTTCCTGAAAAACTTGAACTTTCTAAACAACCGAACATTATGCAACTTCACTCGGAAACGAGTATCATACCTAAAAATTTAGAAAATCCACCCAATGTTACCTACAAGAAACATGGTACGTTATCATTTGAGCCTGAAATTTAAATAAAAAAAAAGAAGAAGAAGAAGAAAAAGAAGAATCCATTTGTCACTTTTTTGGTTTCTTTTCACCATTTTAAATAAAACTCAGTGAACACAAAAAAAAATAAAATAAAATAAAAAATAAAAATAAAGCAACTGATGGGTACTCTATAGTGTCCTTTCCTATATACTATATGTTTTATCAGTTTGGTGCTACTTTTTTGATGTTTAAAGATAAAAGAAGGATTCAATATATAGACAAGTGGCTGATTAGGTGCTTAAAGGTTCCATTTTTTACTATCATTTAAGGAACACTTATAGTTGGACGGAAGGATTTTATAATACTCAAGTCAGATAAGTATTACAGGATATTAATCTTCAAATATGCATGTATTCACCAAAAATGTATTTAATATACTTCATGAATATGGTTTATTATTTGAAAGTATGTTTCATACATTGGGCATTTGTTTGATATGCTTCCATGACTTGAGTGTTCAACAGTCAACAATAATGTTTAAACAATTTATCCACAATACCGTAACACATTTCACTCTACAAGACAAGATAGTTCATTTTTAGTTGATTCTGAGTTAGTGTGATAGTGTATTTGGAAGTCAATGAATCATTATTTGATTGATTCAGTCTCAATTAGATGCATTAGTTTCAAGGTCTTGAGAGGCTTCGTGAATTTTGAAACAAATCAAGAAAAGTTAGAAATAGATTAACTAAAAAAATTTCGAATGGAAGTTTTCTTTGATTTGTTTCAATATTTGCTGCTTCTGTTTCTTTCTTTTGGTAGACCATGGGATCGCCTACTAGTTTTAATAATCATCTGTAGTTATGCATTAGAAGGAGAGATGTTATATATCCAACCATCACCAACAACCGTGCTCTTAGTTAAAACAAATTTAATCATACAGAATTTATTTGTGTTTTTGGAATTTTGAAGTCTCTCTTTCTAAAGTTAAATTGCTGCTTTCAGTGGTCACTTTGTGTCGGACGTTACATGACCACCTATGGGTATAATCCAGAATTAAAGGTGGGTGTACTGGGAAGCAACTCTAAGGAACTTCAAATATCAATTATTGTGAAAGTTTAGTGCTTAGCATTTTAGAAACACGTTTCTTGCTTTTGGCAGCAAAAATTACACTAGAGAGGCTTCCTGAAAGCTGAATGAGAAGTACCTGAGTAATATATACAAGGACACTTGGGAAAGATGGAGGGCAAGAATATCAGACCAGTCTGGAGAGAAGTCACCTTTGGCCCACCATTTCTGTTCAAAGCATCCTTCAAAATGTCCAAGTGTTGCATATTTTATATGTTTTACTCTTTATCTTGAGCATGGTTTAAGACTTGGGAGATTTCTAAAAAGTGAACAATTCAGGATAAGTTAAAATGGCTCTGCTAGTTTCCAGGAAAACCATTCTCCGTTATAGAAGGATCACATTTTTTGTGCGTACCTCCCTAAAGAGGCTAATTTAGAGTCGTGTTGATGAATCTACGAATGATTTCCTTCCCCCCTGAATGTATCATATAGTCTTCACTGTGTATACACACGTTTGCCAAGCTACAAAAGGAAATGGTTTAACAACTTTAGTTTCAGCGTGAAAAGAAACGCGAGTTTCATATAGTTTTAGCTGCGGCTCTAAAACCAAGGTTTCAAATAGATATACAAACAACAATAAACTGAAAATACAAAAGCCACCTCTAACTATTGTGCATAAATGAAGAACATACTTAACTGAATGTTGAAATCCCAAAAACATCCTCTTCTGTCGTCTTCAAGGTTTGGAACTCCTTGACGAATGTGATGCTCTTCGCCTCAGAGGAAGCATTCGAGGGATTGCTTAGTGCTTGTGAATTCTGGCTTGAGCACGACTCAGGGAAGAAAGATATATGCTCCTGGGTGTCAGCAAACAATAGGAGAGACTGTGGGATTGGTGGCAGGGTCACTTCCAAAACCCCTTCAAGGATCTGAACTACCCGACTCATACATGGCCTTTGATATTCATCATCTCGAATGCACCAACAAGCCACTCTACATATTCTCGCTACCTCTTCTGCATCAGCATTTCCCGTCTTGAGATTGCTCGGAATTTCTCCTCCCTGATACAAATTCAAAAAGCACCATACCGTAGCTATAAACATCAGCTTTGACCGCTATGGCTACACCTGATATCCACTCTGGTGCAAGGTAGCCTCTTGTCCCTCTCATGGTTGTCAGAACCCTGCTGAATTCTCGCCCTAAAAGCTTTGCCAGACCAAAATCTGCCACTTTTGGAAAGAAATCAGCATCTAAAAGAATGTTTGATGGTTTTATGTCACAGTGTATGATGCAGTCCCGGCACTTCTCATGGAGATAAACTAACCCTCTGGCTGTCCCAAGTGCAATCTGGTAGCTGGTTTTCCAGTCCAAAACCTTTGAATCCTTTTCATAGAAAAGGTGGGAGTCCAAAGAGCCATTGGGCATGTAATCATACACCAACAACCTCTTATCACCTTCAGAGCAGAACCCACGAAGGCGAACAAGATTAACATGTTGGATAACCCCAATTGTGCTGACTTCTGTTCGGAATTGCTTTTCTCCTTGGCTGATACTGTTGAGCTTCTTCACTGCTATCACAGTAGAATCAGGCAATGTCCCTTTGTATACAGAGCCAAAACCTCCTCCTCCCAATTTCTCTGAGAAATTTTTTGTTGCAATCTGCAAATCTTTGTACCCTAAGGCCACCAATGAACCTTCAACTGCTTTTGCTGTTTTCACTGATCTCTTTTGTCGCTTCAAAATCATAACAAAAACAAGGCCTAGGACAACTAGTACTGCCACTGAACACGCAACAGAACCAATAATAAGTCCTTTGTTATTTTTCTGATTCGGAACCTCAGATGCAGCAAGCCTTACATAGAGAGTTCTTCCAGTGACATCATCATCAGAGAGTTGTTTCAGATCTAAGAGTTCTCCAATCCAAATAGAGCACGCATTGCTTTCATAAGCATAAGCAGGGCAAGAGCAGTTATTCAAGCAGACCGATTTACATTCTGCAGGACTCCCAACATCCACAGATTGAGGATGTTCGGGCAATACCATGTGTTGATTTTCCCGGAATCTATCTTTTTCCCCATTTGCAGTACTGGTATTCACACACTGCAGATCGGTATTTCTAACGCACCCGCTAGAATAATCATACAAATTCCAATCATTCATGGACTTACTAGTGAAACCAGGCAAACAATTACAGAAGGGTTGAATAATCTGATTGCAGGCGCCAAATGCCCCACAATAAGCATAAATTTCACATAGTTCTCTTGGTTGAGACCAATGCAAAATCCATTGCTTTGAAGTTTCCGACCAAGTGAGTTGTTTAATTTGCCCCGAAAAATCCATAATAAATCTAGAAATATTTGAAGGATTATAAAGAGAATACATAAAATAACTCTCATTTTCATTGTTAACATAACTAAAGTAAAATATATAATTCGACCTCATCTCTGGTACTAAACTGAAAATATTACCATTCCAAGCCCCACTAGTCCAGTATTGCTCAGACCTATTCCACCGAATAAGATACTGATTACCATTTGGGTCTAGCTCAAGAGAGAAAAGTCCCGCTGTAGGATTCTCTGAATTCTTCCATGAGGTAAGAAGTTGACTTTTATTAGGGAGTCTGTTAAATCCAATCTTACTACCAGGCAACCATGTATGGGCTGGATGATCAAAACTTTGCCAAATTGGTTGGGTTACATTAGGTCCATCCCCAAAAACAAAATTACCATCATCACGAAGAATTGCTACTAAAGAATTTGAAATGGTAGAGATGTTTGTGGTTCAAATTGGGGTTTGGGACTTATTGACAAGCACTAAATTACCATCTAAAATTTTCAGTTCTGATGAGTACTTATCAGATACAGGTATACCCAAACTATAGTGTGAGGAGACAATTTCTTGTACCACATGCCTATGTAGAATTTGGAAGATTTACCTGGTGTGAAGAAACCCAGTTCAAATTTTCCACCAGATGAGACAATTGTTTGGTCCCCAGAGACAGGTTGGTTTGCAGAGATGGTGTCAGCCCCAAAGAAGAGATGGATGTTA